ACCTAATATGTCTAGAGAAACAACGCTAGATCTAACTATCGCTACACTAGATCTAGTAGACAAAGTAGAAGACTGGCAAACTACTACAGAAACTGGATCTGATCATCACGGGATACTCTTCTCAATACAGACAACAAGAGACCTAGTTAACAACTCTACTAGCCAAATAAGATATAATACAAAAAGAGCAGACTGGGATCTATTTAGAGAGGAGCTAGCTAGAGCTATACAGAACAGCGTAGCTCTATAAGCCCTAGATCAGATCGAACAACCACGAAAAGTAGATTCAAGAAACCTACTCCTAGGCCAAGATAATCAGCTTAAACTGCAGCTAGACGCAATTGGACACGCTATTACGCTAGTAATCCAACAAGCTGCAGACAAAGCTATCCCACAGCTAAAGCAAGGGCCAAAAGCAAAGCCCTGGTGGAGCCAGGAGTTAACTAAGCTAAGAAAAAACGTATCTTACTGCCAAAGGACATTCTCGCAACAGCTTCAAGCTACGTTTATAGAAGAAGCGTTCCTATATAAGAAGGACTTCTTACTAGCGCGAAATACCTACTAAACAGCAATTAAGAAAGCAAAAAGAGACCACTGGAATAACTTCCTTGAAAAAGAAGACCCACAATCTATCTTTAAAGCTATGGACTATATAAAGGATAAGAGAGTAGAAAGAATCCCTCCTATACAAGGAGAGACGCTAGAAACCTCTTTTAAAGGCAAGTGTAAAGCATTTCGAAAAGCTTTATTTCCTCCGCCACCACGTACAGTACCACCAAGCTTCAATAATTACCAAGAGAAAGAGTGGGAGTGGCCAGCGCTATCAGCAACTGAGCTAGAATACGCGTGTTCTAGTAAGGTCAAAAGTAGCTTACCCGGCCTAGACGCTTTATCACAGGAAGTTATCACAGCAGCCTACTAAGCTCAGCTAAACACGTTTTTTAAAGCTTACTCTCTACTATTCAACTACGGATACTATCCAACGTGTTGGAGGAGAGCTATAGGAGCAATTTTAAAGAAAGCATCTAAACCAGACTATTCCATCCCAAAGGCCTATAGAGTAATTACTCTACTAAGCTGCCTAGGGAAAGTAGTAGAACGGATAATAGCTAAAAGACTTGGCTACCTAGCCGAGACTACAAACCTCCTACACGACTCGCAGATAGGAGGTAGAGTAAAGAAATTAGCTATAGATGCAGCTCTACTTCTTGTAGATCAAATCTAGCACCAAAAACAACGCGGCTATATTACATCAATAGTCTTTCTAGACGTAAAAGGAGCGTTCGATCACGTATCGCACAACTAGTTCCTAGGCACGCTAAAAAGACTAGGCCTACCAACCAGCCTAATTACTTGGGCTAAACCCTTTCTATCTAATAGATCTCTAAGGCTCGCCTTTGACGGCCAAATAGAAGACTTTAGCGAGATTAACGCGGGCATCCCATAAGGCTGCCCAGTATCTCCAATCTTCTTTCTTATCTACATTAGAGATCTATTCCCCCAAATAGATGGATTTCAGCTCTCCTACATCGACGATATCTCTATTATAACCTCCTCAACGTCTATTAAGAAAAACGTTAAGATACTACAACAGGAGGTTAAGAAACTAGTTACTAAAGGAAAAGAACTAGCTATCGAATTCGATATAGCGAAAACAGAGCTTATCCACTTTATAAGGAAAAAAGAAAGAAAAGAAATACCTCTAGAGCTCCCTAGTAAGGAGAAAATCTACCACAAAGATACGATTAAGTGGCTAGGGGTCTACCTTAACAATAAGCTATCTTTTCGAGAACACGTAGCTATTCGAGCTAGCGAGGTAAAAATAGCTTTTAATAGACTAGAGAGACTAGCGAATATAGACCGCGGTCTATCTCCCTTTGCTATTAGACAACTATATCTAGCATGCGTTACTAGCATTGCAGATTATGAGTCGCCAATCTATTGGCGCAACCAGAGCTTTATTAGAGATCAGCTTCAGCCGCTACACAACGCGGCTTGTAGAAAGGTACTAGGAGTGTTTAAAACAGCTCCAGCTATCCCTACGAGTATTGAAGCTAGCTTGCCGTCACCAGAAATACGGCTAAGCTAAACTAATCGAAAATACGCACTGCGAGCTATACAACTAGCTCACACCCACCCAATTACAAAAGCTATTAAAAGACTACAAAAAACAACCCTTCAACAATCAAAACAGCCAAATAAGACAAGACAACTACGCGCCATCACGAGCTCCATCCCATCTACCCAAGAGACAGAAGAGATTATCCCATATCGGTTCAGACCATGGGATTCTCTCAACTACACTATCTCTATATCAAAGAAATCTAAAGAAGAAGAGGCAATCGCGCACAAAGATTATATCCAAACAATAGAGGATAACTCTATAGTAATCTACTCAGACGCATCTAAAACTAAAGACGGAGATGGGATAGGAGTAGGCGTAGTGGCTTATAACCTAAACCAAGAAGAAATATACGCAGCGACAAGTAATATAGGCGAGCAGCAGCTAGTCTATAATGGAGAGCTAGA